CATGTCTATAATTAACACTGACTACTGAATAGTGTAAGACAAAAATAATTTCTGTGAAATAAAAACATTTTAGAAAATGTGTTCATGATTTATCTTATCAGAATGGCACAAGATCTCTATGAAGAAAAACATAAAATTTAACATTCAACTCGCATAACAAGATGTGTGATGCCAGATCGCTGGTTTATTATTACAGGTGGGGCRCAGTGAGGACATTAGCCAAGTAGGGGTGTCAAAGGAGACTTTCTGGTTTTGTGGGTGGAGTTTGTCCTAAACATGATTGGCAAAACCGTGATTGGTTGGAGAGTTGTCTTGTGACGCATTTTAAAAGAGGAAGTAATGGTAATAGTAAAATTATTGTGAACATGTAAATATGATTTGTTAACTGTCTATGTACAGTTTAAAGAACAATGTCATGTCTTGGACAAATTCCCTCCAACAAAGCAAGAAACTCAGACTTAGTAACAGCAGAGCGCCCTTCTCACATTTGCTCGATTTAGAAAATGGGTCAACAACCACACTTTTGTATTTCTTTTTAAAGTTTCTTCCAATTTTATTTATCACTAATAGGTTGTAATGCATTGTGAAGATTTGTTTTGTTGTTTTTGTATTTTAAGTTTTATCTGAGCTGAAATAAACTGACTTTTTTGTCATCTGATWCTGATSGGAATGTTTTGGCTCTTTRTGAGTTCAWTTACGGGCAAAAAAGTAAAAGTAGAGTTGTTGAACGTATACTGTGTTATTGAAAGTATACTGTGATGTAGCACCAGGGCATTTGCACATAAATGTTTATGCCAGAGGTTCCCAATCTATTTTCCACCCCCCCACCCAATCCCTTGCTACTCTCCACTTCTCCCAAAGGCGTGTTCAACCTTTATCTCTTCATCAAAATAATAAAAGAATAAAGTGAATAAAGTAACAAACTTTTATTTGAAAAATAAAAAAGTAGTACACACTTACACAGAGTTTTAATCATTCAGATAGATGTGTCATGGTGACATTTATACACAAACAGTAAATTGATATTTTCACAACCACTGATCAGCTAAGGTTTTGGGGCCCCCCTGTGCTCTCTGCCCATCTGCGCCATCTTCCATGCACATGTCAGAATGTAACAAAAACATTGTGTTGTCTTCTGCATAAAAGTATACAAAYGTTTCACCTGCTGTTAGAATGTGCTTGCYGGTGAAAATGAATGCAGGAAGCATCCTTCAGCAGAACCACCTGTCTGAGAGTGAAGTGWTTTGTTTGAAAAATATGGAACAAAGAGATTCTGATTTAAGATGCTTGTTAAGAGCTTTGAATAAACCTTTATTGTCATTGTACAGAGCACAATGAAATTACAGTTCAGAACACCCATTCAGGAGAACAAGTGCCCCCATGTAATGCAGCCACAGACTCTGCACAGAGCAAGGATCATCATCATAAAGACATCATGAGGAGGCACTTACCCTTTTGTAAACATGATTTTAAAATCCATCTTAAAGCTAAAATTTGAGAAATATGATCTCTCCTGTCATGATAATTCTGGCATTATCACATTGATATGTGTTACGGTGACGAAGGAATGAACCCAAATCCAGAYGGAGGAGAGGAGTTTAAATAAAAATATTTATTTGCAAAACAAAAAGCTGACAGGGCAGCAAAAACAAAATGAACTCGAAGGCACAGGGRAAAGTCAAGGAGACCATAACAGGAGGTAAAAACCAAAAAATGAACTAGTGAGGATATGGAGGACCTGACCAAACAAACAGAAGGAATCAGGAGATGAACAACAGCTGAGGGAAAATACTGATTACGAGTGACAGGTGAGCATAWTTACAAAGGGAAGCGACATTGAAAACAGACTGAGGAAGAACGAGTAGTAATGATACTGAGAGAGCACACGAGGGAGACATGACACAAGACAACAAAAACACACAACCTCACAGATATKTATTTATTTAATACCTTTATTACCTTACCTTTTTCACACCCAAACAATAAGGAATCATAATAGTTTAGCCTAGAAGTAAAAAAAAAAGATTACTAGTTTTGCTACAAAAATTTGAACAAAACGTTCCTATTTTGAACAAGTAGATGAAGGTGATCCCGATAACATTTTAATTATTGGACTTAAACCCGCCACATGTTCTGGTCAATAATAACACCAAAAAGCATTCCCGGAAAATGACACCTTTGCTTGTCAGAATGCCTACAAAAAGGAGGCTCATTTCTGACACTCAGAAGTCAAGAATAAATAAAATAAGAAGAGTAAAATACAGTGAAAAATATGACAAATGAGCCTGCAACAATCATTGGATGAAAGCATCTTGCTCAYGATCACCTGATTTATAATAAAGGAGGTACAATCGATGCACTCACAAATAAAAATACAAACAGCTGATAGATGGAGATCAGCTCTGTTTTTAGTGGTCTGGGATTGTTACAGCTGATGTTAGTGGTTGCCTTGGGTGGTTCTCTGGATAGTGTGAATCAAAGAATTGAGCCTATAGAGGCTCTGACAAGTACTGATGTAAGTACTGAGGCTCCATTGATGAAATGTACTCTGCAGAGTGCACCTCATTTATCATCATTCTCAATGGATGGAGACTTTGTCATTGGAAGTGTTTTCTCTTTACACTACAAACTGTRCACAGTGATTTATAACTACACCATCAAACCTGAACTTTCAAGGTGCGCAGGGAGGTAAGTAAGCAGAAGAAAGGTTGAAAATTATGTCAGAAGTGTGGGATTTGGTGCAAATGTTGAAGATAWGAATGCATTTTTGTATTGTTTTGACACATGTTGCTGAAATTTTCTGTTTCTTAAAACAATCTATAGCACAGCTACAGATTTTATTAAATGTAGTTGTTTTTTTGTTTGTTTTGTTTTGTTTGAATATTCTTATAAAAATTGGCAGAGTTCAGATTTTTTTCTTTTTGCTGCCTTTCATTTTATTTGATTTGTATAATTTTTTTCTTCTGTTGTAGATACTGTATGTGTTTTTGTTTTTAATGAAATGAATACATTTCTTAATAAAAAAATAAAATTATAGAAAACATTYATGCATGTACAGTTTATATTAAAATATGCATTATAAAAAAAGCATCTAAATGTATTAAACATCTGTGCTTATACTATTTATTCTGTTAAGCCCAATTGGCAGGGAGCTGCGGTTTTCCCGTACAGTGATGTTTGCTATTGAGGAGATAAACAACAGCACAGAGCTGCTGCCAGGCATTAAACTTGGTTATCAGATCTATGATACATGTGCCTCAGTGCCTGTAGCTGTTCATGTGGCATTTCAAATGTTAAATAGTCAAGAGCCCAAGTTTTATAAAGGCATAAATTGTTCACAATCGGGTGTTGTGATGGCTGCTGTTGGAGATTCCAGATCTACATTATCCATCAGCATATCACGCATTATTGGGTCCTTCAGCATCCCTCTAGTAAGAAATCTGGATCTATTCAAAAATTTTATTCTAAAATGTACCTGCTAATTTCACGTCAAAAGTAGCACACTTCTTTTTTTGTCTTCAGGTGAGCCACGCTGCTACTTGTGCCTGCCTGTCAGATAAGCAGGAGTTTCCAACATTTTTCAGAACGACTCCCAGTGATCAGTTCCAAGCTGATGCTCTGGCCAAGTTGGTGAAACACTTTGGCTGGACTTGGATCGGTGCCATTCACTCTGACTCAGAATATGGGAATTATGGCATGGCGGCTTTTCTTAATGCAGCACGGAAAGAGGGGATCTGTGTGGAGTAYTCTGAATCCTTTTCTCAGACTGACCCGTTAAGCAAGATCAAGAGAGTAGTTGATGTTATCCACAGGTGTCTAACTTACTGATTTTGCCTTTTATCTACTGATATGTAATTTTTTTAAATCAAAAAGATTTAGTCCATGATACAAATGTAGACTAATTCATTGCTGATGGCAAACATGTTTTTTTCGTGGTATTTTCCATGAAGATAACATTTTTCAATATCTCTTTAGGTCAACAGCGCTGGTGATTGTAGTGTTCATAGATTCTGCAGATGTGAGAGTCCTGTTAGAGGAGCTGACTCTTGAACCTCCACCACCTCGTCAGTGGATAGGAASTGAGGGCTGGATCACTGACCCACTCTTACTGAGATTCAGTTTCTGTGCAGGAGCCATTGGAGTTGCCATTCAGCAATCTGTCATCCCAGGTCTGAGAGACTTCTTATTGGACCTCTCTCTTACTGAAGTTGCTGCCTCCTCTGTGCTTACTGAGTTTTGGGAGGATGCATTCAACTGTACACTGACAGGACGTGAGAACATTCTCATATTTATTTTTTACATTTACGTGCTTTTTTCCCTTCAATGTACAAATGTTCGCCTTTGTTCCTTATTAATGTGACATTGCACAATGTGCAGTTAGGCATTTTGCTGTCATGTCTCTTTTTACTAGCACATGATTTAAGACAGTATAAACATTTTTACTCTGCTTTTGTTTCTGATTCCCTTTGTTTAGAACATGGTCTAGCAGTTTACTTGTATAAGATTGATTTTTTTTTTATTTTTCTTGTTGTATAATGTCTTTGTTGTTTGCAGTGGACATGTTGCTGCCTACTTATATATTTTAGTCTCTGCGAAGAAATGCAAGAAATAAGTACTAAATACATATA